AATATGGCACGGCCCCTGCTCGGAAAACCCCTTTTTCATCTACTTTCAGCCCCCTTTTTGGGCCCCTTGAGCCACCCGCCCCTGTGACAATGACAATGCATGTGACAGTTTCGGTTGGCACCGTTGATAAGCGTCGCTTATTGTCCTTCTGGCCCGCTTTGCACCACCCAAACACCCAAAAACAGCCACCATCGAACCACCCACTCACCCAGTTGACAAAAAAGTTAGGCAGCTTAAGTCGGAAAATTTATTATTATTTTTCTGCATTGCAGGCTGTGTGCAATTTTAAATGGATTTTAATTAGTTTTGAATTATTTTGGCTTTCGGTTTAGTTTTTCGGTATTTCGTGTGCCATTTTGGCATTAAAGTTTGGCCCATTATTATTATTATTATTATTATTAAAGGTTATTTTCATCGGTAATACTGAATCCAGATATACCATCAGCCTTAGAAACGTCAGTATATACAAAATTGTGTTGTGGGTATGAGGATTGTAAGGACCTGAAAAGTTGTTGGTAGGTTGTTGCAGGGGTATTTTGTTTATTATGAGATGACAGAATAGTATCTATAGCTTTATGTATGGTTGGCATATTAAATTTATTACATTTACTGGTTCGGATAGGAGAAACGGGAAGAGATAGATGGTTGCATGTTTTGATTATTCTGTCTATGGTACTAGGGTATTTGTATATTCTTTTGTGTGGCTTTATTAGTTTAGTTATATGGGTGTCGTGGGCGAAAAGGATATTTTTACTTAATTTGGCTGTAAGGAAGTTTCGATTTTGTTCTATTGTGTTTGTTTTAGATTCTAGTAGTAAGTTGTTTACTGGAGTGGTTCGATAGGCTCCCATGGCTGATCTTAGAGCTGCATTTATTATTGTTTTTAAGCAGTTTAATTTAGATTTGGGAGAATACCCGTAAATAGGCAGGCAAAAATCGATTTTTGAAATAAGGATAGATTTAATAGTATTGATAAGAGTGGATGTGTTACAGTTATATTTAAGGGAAGAGAGATGTTTGATGATATTTAAAGGTTTTAATAGTTCTGTTTTTAGTTTTGAAATATGGTTGGACCAGGTGTATTTGTTGTTAATAGTAAGACCTAGTATTCTGAGGGAGTTGGTATTGGGAAATTTTGTGTCGCCTGTAAGGATATTGGCAGAACAGTTATGTTTTCTGCATATATGAAGAACTTGGCATTTTTCTTTCGATAGGATTGATCCTGAGTAAGTACACCAGTCGTCTATTTGAGAAAACAGGGTTTGAAGGTTGGAAGTGGGGTTTTTTTGTTTATTGTGTTCGATTATAAGATGGAAGTCATCGGCGTAAGCTGTTAGTTTTATTTCTTTGTGTACGGAGATAATATTGGAGAGTGCGTTGTAAGCTATAAGAAAGAGAATTACTGAGATTGGAGACCCCTGGGGGATGCCATTATTGAGTGGGAAAATGTTTGAAAGGTTGTTGCCGGATTTAATAATTATCTTTCTGTTTGTCATAAAGTTAAGGACGTAATTTAATATGCGTTTGCCAATTTTCCATTCCTTCAGCTGGTTAATTACGGAGTGTATGCCAATTTTATCAAATGCCTTGTTGAAATCAAGAGAGATCAATGTGATGTGTTTCTTGAGGGAGAGGGATCTAGTTGCTATGTGGTCTACTAAAAGTAGACTGTCTATGACAGATCTTCCCCTTCTAAATCCAATCTGATGGCTGTTGATTAGATTGTTATTTAAAACAAACCACCACAGTCTCTTGGCGATAATTTTATCAAGTGTTTTGGCGAGGCATGAGTTTAGGGATATAGGACGGTACGATTTTAGGTCTGTTTTAAGTTTTTGGGGTTTTAGAATAGGAAGTACTAGGCTATGTTTGTAGGCTTGGGGGATTGAGGAATCTAGGATTGAGTTAAAGTGGTTAAGGACTCTATGTTTGAATGATATAGGGGAGTTGTTGATCATAATGTAAGAGATGCGATCTAAGCCTGGAGTTTTGCCTTTCAGGGAGTTGAGTGCGCTGCTGAATTCAATGAATGAAATGTCCTTTTCTATTTCGAGTGCAGAATTGGAGGGTTGGTAGTCTATGGTGGGGTTTAAGAGAGATTTGTTAGTGCGAAAAGTTGGAGAAAAGTTACTGTCGTCGCCTTCTTTGGACCAGGCAAGTCCAAAGGAGTTAGCAATTTCGCTTTGGGATGTTCTGGGGGTGGGGAAGGAAGGGTCGTTAATGCAATGTATATGCTTTGAGGGGTAAAAACCGCAAAGCCGCCTGATGTTGGACCATGTTCTAGCTGGAGATGAGAAGGGGCTAATATCAGAAGTGAAATTGAAAGTAGAGATGCGTTTGGCTTCTCTAACTGCTTTTTTTAGTTTCGCGTTGGCTTTTTTGTATTCAGTTGTATTATAAGTAGTAATGTTGCGCTTTAATATAGACCACTTAGACGCTTTGGCTTTCTTCAAAATTGATAAGTTTTGATTCCACCAAGGGACTGTTCTAGGAAATTGAAAAGTAGTGTTCTGGGGGATAGATTGGTGCGCGCTTTGGATAATAATTTTTCTTAACATAGCTGCTTCTTTATTGACATTTTCGCTTGGAGGCTTGTCAGTAGAATTGTATCGAAAAGATTTTTTGTATGCTTCCCAGTTTGCTTTTTTTTAGGTTAAAGGAGGGTTTGGAGGTGTAGGATGAGGGGGAGGTATTAAGGTTCATTGAGATTAAAATAGGGAGGTGATCACTACCGTAGAGGTCGTCTATTGTTTCCCAGAGAAATTCTGGGGCTATATTGGATGAAGAAAAGGATAAGTCTATATGTGTGAAAGAGTTGTGTGTGGAGAAGTGGGTGGGACTTTTGTCGTTTAATAAGATGTAATCTGAACGGTCTAGGAATTTGGCAATAATATTGCCTCTGGCATTAGGGCTAGGTGAGCCCCAGTAGGGGTGCCAGCTGTTAAAGTCTCCGAGGACTAACGTGGGAGTGTTGTCGAAACAGAGGACGTTTTCTAAGTTATTTCTGTTAAAGGGCTTGGTTGGTGAAATGTAGGCTGATATTATGTTTAGTTTAAGTTTAGTGTCTATTGAGACTCCAGTTGCTTCGAAGTCTTGGGTGATTGAGATTTGTCTTTGAGATATTGAGTTATGTATCAGGAGTGCTGCGCCCCCGTAAGAGTTGGTGCAGCATTGTTGGTAGAGTGTGTAGTTAATGGGAATGGGTAGAGAGTTAAAGTTGGTTATGTGTGTTTCTTGTAGGGCAAGGATTAGGGGGGTTAAAGGTCTTGATCAGGGATTGGAGTTCGATGTAGTTATTTCTATATCCATGGATGTTCCATTGAATAATTTTAAGCATTATAATGTAAGGGGAAGGAGTATTACTTAGTACTAGTTTGAGCGATTAGTTTTTAAAGTTCAATAACAATAATAGACTAAAAAGAAAACTATTTAAAGCTCTTCTTCAGAGCTATTGCGATTGGCTAATTTGCTTAATTCGTTTGCTAATTTTGATGTGTTTATGGGCTTAGATTTGTCAGATTTGTCTTTAGCCTTGAGGGAGGGTTTGGAAATTACATTTGATTTATCTTTAGTTTGGCTTCTAAGCTTACGATCGGATTCAAGGGTTGTATTTTTAGAGCGGGTAGCGGTGACTTCTGCGGAGGTTTCAGTATCCATATGTTCGATGCCGGGGTTTGTTGTTTGCTTGATGAGTTTGGACGAAGTGCTGGGTAGTGGATTGATAATGTCGTTGTAGTTCCTTATTTCACGGTTGGTGTTAGTGTTGGTGCCTTCGGTGCTGGCAGTCTTTGGAGCTTGGTTTTCTGTGATTGTAGGTTTTTCGGAGGATGCTATCTTGGAGTACGGGGTAGATTGGTGGGTGTGGCGCGTGTGATAGATTTTTGTGGCGGTTTTGTAGTCGACTTTTTGTAGTGTTTTAATTGTTATTATTTCTTTTTGTTTAATGAAGGCTGGGCATGTTTTATCTAGGGGACTGTGGTTGTATTCGTTGTTAATGTCGTTTTTGCAGTTTATGCAAAACTTGGGTTTGTCGCATTCAGTGTCGTCTGGCGTGTGTACTTCTCCTGAGCAGTTGCTGCAGGCTTTGGTGGGGGTCCTGCAGGCTTTCGTGGGGTGTCCAAACCTGAGGCAGTTGCGGCATTTTAATGGGCGTGGAATATGTGGACGAACTCTTATTCTTTCCCATCCTATCATTATGGTATCCGGGAGAAACGTTGAAGAGAAGGTGACAATTACGAGTCCAGACTCTTGGAGAATGTTGTTCTTTTTGATGAAGATTTTTTCAACATTGTTGACCCTTTGAAGCTTAAGCTCGTTTAATATATCAGCTTCGTCTACATGCCGTAGTTCATTTGAGTATATTACTCCTTTCGAGGAGTTTAAAGTTTCATGTATAGTGACTTTTACAGTGAAGTTGTGGAAATTGGAGAGTTTTAGCAGTTTTACTGCCTGTGCTGAACTTTTGGTTTTAACTAATAGGGTTCCGTTTCTGGTTTTAGTGCATGTTTCAATTTCTCCGCCGCAGGTGAATTCAATAACTCTTTTTATTATGAATATCGAAACTTTTTCAAAAGTCTCGTTATCTGTTCTGGAGATTATGAGGAACTTCGGGTCAAGAGTTGTTGTTTTATTACCCAGTGCAGGGTAATCTAGATCAGGTGGTCGATTCATTGTTATTGTGCTTGGGCTGTCGCCCGTTGCACAGAGCACTTTTGTAGCGGTTTTGCTGTGATAGTTGTTCTTGGGTTTTTTTGAAATCTTCTTTACGCACTTGTTTGTTTTTGCCAAAATTGGTAGAACTTTGTTTTTGTAACTGATGGTACTCGCGAAGTTCTGCCGATAGCACGTCTTTACTCAATGAGGTTTGGACTGGTGTTGGCCCATTATAGTATCCTGCGGTTTATGTAAATTTGATATTCTTTTTTCAGGATAATTGTTTAAGGGGATATTCATCTTGCAGTTGCCAAAAAGTAACTAAGGATGAAATGCGAATGTGAACGAAGTGTGTATAAATGGGTTAACTTTTATTTTCGATAAGAACCATCAGGGTGAATAATTCATGTAATGAAATATTTTTCTGGTAATAAGTCCTAGACACACAATTTTTTTTACTATTTTAACAACTGGAAAATATTGTGAGTATCATCCGATAAAAAACTGGATAATTTCTTTAATATATTGTTTGAAAACTATTTTTGTTCGCCTTTTTTGGCGGCCAGTTCCTTCATCAAATTCAAGGCACTGCCGGCCTTAAACCACTCGATCTGCTGCTCATTAAACGTGTGATTCAACTGAATCTTGACACCACTTCCATTGTTCTTGATATCGGCTTCCACTGGTTTACCGGGTGCCAAATCCTTGAGGTTCAACAGAGAAATCTTGCTCGACGGTTGGATTTTATCGTAATCACTGGGATTGCTGAATGTTAGGGCGAGCATTCCCTGTTTCTTGAGATTGGTCTCGTGGATCCTGGCAAAGGACTTGACAATCACGGCCACTCCGCCCAAGTGACGCTGTTCCAGGGCGGCGTGCTCCCTGGAGGATCCCTCGCCGAAGTTCTCCTCACCCACCGCGCACCACTTCATCTTGTTGGCCTTGTAATCCCGAGCCACCGCTGGAACGGCATCATAATTGCCCGTCTTTTGGTTCTTCACCTTGTTCAATTCGTTGTTCTCGGCATTTGTGGCAGTGATAAACAAATTATTGGATATGTTATCAAGATGTCCGCGATACTTAAGCCAAGGTCCAGCAGCACTTATATGATCTGTTGTGCATTTACCCTTGATTTTGATCAAAACCACCAAGTCAACGTAATCCTGGCCATCCCACTTATCAAAGGGTGTCATCAACTGCAGTCGTTCCGATTTCGGATCCACATTGACTGTAATACTGTCGCCGTTTTCTGGTGGAGCTTGATAGGTATCCTCACCGGGATCGAAACCTTTGGCGGGCAATTCCTCGCCTTTCGGCTCCTGCAGCTTGAACATTTTTCCATCCTTTCCCTCAAGCTCATCAGCCAGAGGATTGAAGTCCAAACGACCTGCAATTGCTAATGCGGTTGCCATTTCCGGACTGGTAACAAAACAATGAGTTGCTGGATTGGCATCGTTTCTTCCGGTAAAGTTACGATTGTATGATGTGACAATCGTGTTCTTCTCACCCATTTTCACATCCTTGCGATCCCACTGACCGATGCAAGGACCACAGGCATTTGCCAGCACGGTGCCACCAAACTTTTCCAGGACATCGATGATCCCGTCCCTTGCAATTGTGGCACGAACTTGTTCCGATCCCGGAGTAACATTAAATGGTACACAGGCCTTTAGGCCATGGCTTATAGCATCGTTGGCAATGCTGGCACACCTTCCCATATCCTCGTAAGAGGAATTCGTGCAGGATCCAATCAGACTCACCTTGATGTCCATTGGATAACCATTCTTCTTGGAGTTCTCACCCAGTTTGCTGATTGGATGGGCCAAGTCAGGTGTAAATGGCCCGTTTACCAGGGGTTCCAGTGTATCCAAGTTGATCTCGATCACCTTGTCGTATTTGCAACCCTCGTCCGCGGTTAGGAGATCCTTGTACTTCATCGCTTCTTCGGCGATTTTTTCCCTGCCCGTGGCTTTTAAATAAATTACCATCCGTTCGTTGAAAGGAAAAACAGAAGTTGTAGCTCCAATTTCAGCTCCCATATTCGTGATGGTGGCCATTCCCGTGCATGAAATGGATTCGACACCCGGTCCATGGTACTCCACAATGGCACCAGTGCCTCCTTTAACAGTCAGAATCTCAGCCACCTTCAGGATCACATCCTTCGGCGAAGTCCAGCCACTGATCTTCCCAGTCAGATGACATCCAATGACAGTGGGGCACTTTAGTTCCCAGGGAATATTGGCCATCACATCCACGGCATCTGCACCACCGACGCCGACGCAAAGGCAGCCCAAACCACCGCCGTTCGGAGTGTGGGAATCGGTGCCGATCATCAGCAAGCCCGGAAAGGCGTAGTTCTCTAGGATAATCTGATGGATGATGCCACTTCCCGGTTTCCAGAAACCCAAGTTGTACTTTGCACACGCTGAAGCTAGAAAATCGTACACCTCCTTGTTGATATCCTTTGCTCTTTCTAAATCCTTAACACCACTTATTTGAGCCTCGATGAGATGATCACAGTGAACTGTAGATGGCACGGCAACCTTTTTCAGGCCCGAGGAAATGAATTGAAGAAGTGTCATTTGAGCAGTTGCATCCTGCAAAGCCACACGATCTGGACGCAATCTTAAATAGGACTTGCCACGTTCAATTTCCTGCGTATCCGGTTGATCCAAATGGGAATATAGTATCTTTTCCGAAAGCGTCAGAGGTCCTGTTAATCGATTCTTCACGCATTCCAGAGTCTCTCTTAACTTTTCATAGGGTAAGGGTGCATTGCAGTCGAAATTCGACATTGCCACTTGGTTACATCTTGGAAATCGGGCAACGTGAAACCTTCGCACCATGGAACCCGCCAAACTTATATATCTCTGCGTTCGTTGAGTCATTGTAGTGTCTTTTTAAAAATTAACTAATTTTGTTAAGTTTGTTGGTTATGGAAAGTAGTTCGTGTTGACTAATTCAGTTGTAAGGATTGCTGAGTGTTAACGATCGACTGCTATGTATTTCCACCCAAGAAAAGATTGCTACAATTGTTCTACAAATCAAATTTGCAACTAATAATCAGTGAAGCCTTAGAAATTCCATGGCAAGTGGCTATATCAACCTCATTTAATTACCGACTGAAATATCTGCTGCACTTTGAATTTAATTACTTATTTCAATAGAATGCCAGCTGTTCTGTACTGCAAGCCTAATCACAGCTATTATTTAAACAGACTCCTTACCTTTGGCCGGCCTATACCCATATTCATCGGGTTAGTCCATTGTTCAGTGCGTATTTGTTGCCGGCCAACAGATGCGAAGAGATACTAAGATACTAAGTTCGGGTCGAAAGTGGCAGCTGAGTGGGCACGTCAACGGAATTGATGTTGCAAGTGAATCAGGGTCCTGCATGTCCAAGGGGATTGCGCAGGCGGAAGGTGGATCCATCGATGGCATTGGCCAAGTGACAGACAACTGGAGGCGAGACGACGGGCACAACCAGCAAACTGGACGGCTGACAAACAGAAGGACAAGGGCTGCCAGGATGCCAGGATGCTAGGATGCCAGGATGCCAGGATGCGAGCTGGCTACAAAAGTGTCAACTGCAAGTGAGTGTGACGGTGCATCCTGTGATTGTGTTTGGTTTGCTGGCAGCGTGTCATAATGGGCGATGTGGGATGTGGGACCTCGAACCTCGAACCTCGGACTTTGAAAGGTTGAGGGGCGAAGGGGGGAGGAAGGGAAGTTGGCCGCACCACATTCAATTGAAATCGACGTGCCTGTTGGCCACAATGCCATTGACGATCCTGCCGCTGCTCAGGCCAACTCCTCGCTGCTGATGCCTTTTGGCCATGGTCTATGGTCTTTGGTCGATGGTAATGGCCATGTCCTGCCACTCCCGACTCCCATTTCGAGCCATAAGTAGGCAGCCAAAAACTGATTGGCAACTACTTGGCACACTCTCGACCGCAAAACTTTTCAACCACTGCCACTTGCAGTGTACACACAAAAATGTGCAGTTTTCAAATATCAAAATCTCAACTATAAATAAATAACTAACAAAAAAAAATATTTGTTAGGTTTAAAAAATGCTTCTAATCTGTTTTTATAAATTTATATTTGATTTATTTGATACTAAGAACAAATATAAATTTCAAAAAACATTAAGAGTAAATTTTACATTTTCTTGAAAAAGTTATGATACTTTTTTTTATTTTCTATCCTTATTTGTCACAAAAATAAAATAATTCATATTATATATAACAGAAAACTTATCGCTGTGCCGCCCATTGTTATTTTTTGAGTGCAGACAATTTCAAAAGATTCTGAATCGAGCAAATGTTGATTATTAATCTGTATAATTGATGGATTGGTGCTTGTTCCGCTTTCAGCAACATCGAATTGCATATCTGAAACTATCTATCCAACCGGATTAGCGCTTTCATTCTCTGTAGAGGAGAGAGCTAGGTCAATTTGATTGGGGGGTCCGAAAATGTCAAGGTTGTGCAAATTTCATCTCAAACACATGGTCGTTCAGTTTTGTGCGCTGTCATTTGCCATCGAATATTAGATTCGCAATCCCGTGTCCCCGAAAACCGCCGCTCATCATTTGGTTCTATCTCTAAAAGGAAAAATGCAATTAGCTTGAATATATTTGCGTTTGGCCATTGGCCTTGGCCGGAAAACAGTTGGAGTCAAACAGTTTGCCCCGACAATTCTCGTTTGGCCTTAAATTATTGCAATTGAAGTATCAAACTTTCGCCATAAATAAGGGAAACTTATTGCCAGCGATTGGAAAAAAGATGCAGTAGCACCTAAGTGTGGCTATTACTTGTAAGAAAGCGGGAAAAGTGTATTAATTTACTGGATTTATCTACTCGATGGATGCGTTCTCAGTTCTCAGTTAAAAAGGTTTTACATTTAGTTTTCAGTATTCCAGAAATTATTCTTTTTTATATAGTAGAAACAAAATACCTGAAAAATAGTAAAAATGTATTAAAAAAATCAATAAATTTAATAACAAAAAATCTTGATATACTTAAACCGTACAATAAGTTATCCAACAGATCATGAAAACATATTCCCACTATAACCGGCACTCTTCAAACTTTTAGAATCTGCTTCTGTTTTTATGCTTTTGTGACTTGATGTCTGATTGGGCGAATGCCCGAAAATTGCCAGCAAAATTTATGTACTGACCGGGGAAAGAGAGAACATGTGGGCGAACAAACTATGGCCATATGTAGGGCTGATCTGGGGAATCAGAGAAAATAGGGGATGGGGGCGCGTGGAGAAAGTAGGTGTGGCTGCTGTGGTGTCGGTGGCCAAAGTTGCAACAAAACTGAAACTTTGGACTGGCAAAAATTTTTAATCCTCGCTTTCTTCTTCTCCTTTTATTATTCCCCACTTTTTTCCCCTAGATTTTTTGTTCGAATCTTTTTTTTGTTTTTGCCGGGATTGGTGGTATGGGTATGGGTTTGGATTTGGGTGGTAACAATGCGCTGGTTGTTTTTGCAGGGAGCTCCGCTTCGGCACAGCTTGCGGTAAAACTTTTCAATAATATTCCCAAAAGTCCAGTCCAGACGCCGATGAGCAGGAAGGCCAGAGACACCGGAGTACCGATGGCAGCAGCAGAAGCGGCAGAAGCAGCGGAAGTGCCGCCGTAGTTTTGCCATCTAGCCAGGGATATAGCACAGTTTTTGGCGCACTTGCAGCAATATTGCAATAATACCCCCCGAAAAAAGAAAGAAAAAAAAAAAAACAGCATTTTTGGCAGTCGGTTCCCAGAACTGGTTCCACTCGGTTAGCTTTAATTCGACATTTATTAATATTTTTCAAATAATTGGAAACGACCGTAAAACTGTATACAATAAATTGAACTTTTTGCATTGCAGCAATATCTTTCTGAATAAATAAACGCAATTTTAACAAAACGATTTGGAAATTATATTTTGTCGTTTAAAATCAATGGTTTCTGTTATGAAATAAATAACCATTTAACTTCATTGGACAGGATTGAATTTCTTAATCAAGTTATTTATAGCCATATATATTATACATATTATATAATGACCTCTTTAAATTATTTGTCGAAATTTATGTTTAAAAAATTTGATTGATTGATTCTGAAAGAATATTAAAATAAGCGTAATAAAAGTTGAAAACATTCATATTTGTTTTAATATGTTCCTAAATGCTGCCCTTTAACAATCATTAAAGCAAAATAGATACATGTAAACTTTATATCCATTTTGAATTTCGTTGGGTAAGCCAGCCTATCCAATCGAATGCGTTTCCGGGAAAAGCCGTCCGTTTGAGTCTGGCTTTGTTTTAGCGCGGCAAGCAGACAAATTCAGCATTTCCTGCACACGTGGCTTTGGCGATTTCCTTTTGTGCAAACATATTTTACCGCAATTGCGGCACATACTAGTGCACCGAGTTTCAGGGCGCCATTGAAGCATAAGTAACCGTGTCCCAGTCCCCAAACCCGATCCGCTCTGGTCGTCCTGTCCCCAGGACGAGGACCCAGGACCCGGTCCCCTGACCACTGCCATGTCCCAGTCCATATCCCATTCATATATATAAATATGGATTTTTGCCGTGCGTCTAAGCCATAAGTTGACCGCTCCTCCGCCCCCTCGACGTCCCCCTTTTATAAACCCTCTTAGCTATCCATTCATAAGCTCAATTCAGGCGCAAGCCAAGCTCAGGTCATTTTTTCCCTTTTACTTGCACTGCGGAAAAGGGAATATAAAACTGGTTTCTTTGATAGAAAATTGGGTTAAAAGAAATCAGGATTCAATCTACGGAATTCTATACTTGAAAAGGTTTTTTATTAGGAATTTAAATTTGGTTATGTTTTTTTATTGGCAGACATAGTTATTTATTTTATTACTACAGATAATGTTGATAAGAGCGTTAATTATTAATTGAGGATTATTACAGCGCATTAAAATATAATAGATATAAGCCAATACTTATCCTTTTTTTTTAAGTGCAGCTTAGCTCTTTTGTTTCTCATTTACTGCATGCTATTTGCCTTGCAACCCGCGCCACCATCGCCTTCATCGCTGAACGATGGCGCCTCCATTGGGAGCCACCTGGTTCACCTGGTTTCTGCTTCAGGTGCAACGAGTCCCGCTCCCATTCCCACTACCCGTTTTGCGATCCCGGCTCAGTTACTGCGTCGCTTTTGTCTGCATTGTTTCAGTCAATAGACGCATTTGTGCGGGTCAGTTTGGCAAAAAGAAAGCCATGTCCGAGAGCCCAACCAAAAACCCCTTTCACCGAGCCACTCTTTACAGGGCTTTTTTCTACCTACAGCAAGCGTCTGCTGGCCGCACATAATTAGATTTAATTTGCAGCACGGTATGATCCAAGTTTAGACTCAACTTCTCCCTTGCATGCAATTTTAATGCATAAATTATGCTCAACAACGACGCAATTTAGTGGCCTAAACCTGCCAGCTTAATCCGCTGCTGAGTGTGCGTGTGTGCATAAAGTTGGGACTTTAAAACTAGTCAATGAGTTCTATTTAATAAGGGATTGCATTTAGGATTGGATTAGTGTAATGGATATAAATTTTAAAAGGTAAATTCTGTTTTATTAATGTAGCTTTCTTTTAAAAAATATATCCTATCCATTTTAAACATGGTTAAAAGGTTTTAAGACCTTAAATATTTTATCCCACTCTTTGCTCACTCGCAACTGCATAAATCAGTAATAATCAACCGGATTAACCATAATGCAATCTATAAAGGACCCCATTCGTACACCTCTTTACGACTCACTTATAGAACCTTTTGCGCTACTTTAAAGCCAAGAGCGAGAATTTATAGACCATCCATTTTCCATTTACTTTCGAGGGCATCATAATGCCGTCCATTCGCGGCTAAGCGATAAACCCTCTTCGCTTCCACGGCTCCTATATTAATATGTACACAATAATTATTCCCCGGATGGATTACAATGTGAACTTGGCCAGGAGCAGCAGCTGGAAACGCAAAGCAAACGGAACACGGAAAAAATTGTTGAACTGTGTGGCTTAATGTTGTTGAACTCCCTGAGAGGTTGGAACTTGTTCATTGCGGTGGGTTGGAGGTCGTCGAGCGGGTCAGTCAGGCGTAGCTAAGTGGACACGAAACAATGGGCTGCCATTGGCCATCTGACCCACTGGTTGGCGGCAAACCACCGCAAATACCGCAGAGGTTTTTCTTTGCTACTTAGACCCCGTTTGCTTCACCTTGAGCTCAGAACTCACACACACTCGCTGGGGAAGAGGTCCTCTGGATTTCCTAGCACACGCACTTAATTAAGGCAAAAACTATTTATTTTTCTTTATTTCCTGAACTTTTGGTTCACGCCCCGCACTTTTTCAATTTCCTGTCGCTGACTTCAAAAACAGTTCTCTTAGATTTCCTTGCCAGGGACAGATACAAGATTTTTTTTGCTGTGAAAAGGAAGGTTAAGTATTGGGTAAGGATTTTGTGTAGATCGAACAAGCCAGGTAAAATAGTTAATTTATAACAACTGCATTTGAAATAGATCTTTATCGTAATATTTATATTTGAAAGAACATTTTTTTGGTTTGTACCATTTCTATTTGCTCGTTGTAAGCTATAAATCTTTTGCAATGTAATGCACTTATAATGAAAAATGCATTTCACATAGAGTAGGCAAACTTCGAATCCGAGACTTGGACCATCATCATTTGCTCTCCTGCTGCAAATATATTTTTAGTGCCAACCGGAAATTGTGCTTATGCAATTGCACAAGTTCTCGTCGAAATTCGGACGAGGTCAGTACGTCGAAAAGGAAGGCAACTGAGAAAAAAATGTCAAAAAAGTTGTCGAATTGGGGAAAACCCCAAAGAAAACGAGGACTTCAACTTCACTCTGGAGCTGAGCTCTAGACAATGCAGTCTAATTTGCTGAAATGTTAAACAAAACGTAATAACTGGGAGTTGGCAAAGTCCACAAGTACACATAAAAAAAAGTGGAGAACTTGTTAATTAAAATTCAAATATTGATTGGGATTTAAAGGAAAAGATTAACAATCACCATTCAATTAAATCGAAAATTAATTTGTTTTTTATTGTAATTGAAACTGTAGTAGAATACTTATATCTGTAAATACGCAAACTCGTAGTAATCCTTTTATAATTCCTTCAATCCCTTTTTTCAGTGAATCCATGCGTTTCTTTTTCTCCTCGTTCTAGATTTTTCCGATCTCTTGTTTTTTCGCCCTTCTACTGCTCCTTTTCAACAGCAATAAAAGTCGATTGTCAACTTTGACTGGCATTCTTCGAGCGAGTGAGTGTGTAGCGAACTTCCATCGTTGCATCTTGCAAAGATTCAACTTGGTCCTGGCCGAGTGATTTTCAGGTATGCAGGAGCAGCATAGCCGAGGTCCTCTGCCAAACTCTCTCTCTTCATCCCATCACTTAACATCTTCTAATGTCCCCAGTCTGAAAGGAAGAGTACATATAGAACATTCAGGGAGTGTGAAAGAGTCAGTGGAACGTCTGCGTTGCGGAAACTATGCAGAAATCAAAATGCTCCATAAAACGGAAATGAAAACAAATGAAAAATGATTTTTACTTATGGGCAAATTGTTGTTCCTCAGTCCTTCCAATCTGAATGCCTGGACGGCCATTGTTGCATGTGGCACCAAGTGCTTGTTGCGAATAAATTGCATTTGCACTTTAAACATCGGCAATGTGGCAGCTGTTGCCATTCGTTCACCAGCCCTCCGGATAACTCCTTTCATCCTTGATAGTCAGACATGTGTGGGCTGTTTGTAGGTGGGTGGAAAATACACGACAAGGTAAGCCTGATTAATGTTGTTCGGTCCTTTCCACTGACGAGACGACTCGAATGGAGGCCAAGAGCATTTAGTGCACAAAAGAGATAAAGCCAAGTTTTTTCAGCCACTCTGCGAGCAGTTAAGATTTTGTTCTGTTAGTGCGAGAGCTTAAGTACTAATTTATCGCTTCTCAAGATAGGAAAACAAGCCACTATTAGTTGTAAATTCTCTTTATGGGTTGTTATTAATATTTTTAATTAATTTTCAGCTGAAGGTATTAATTTAATTATAAACATCTCGCATGTATAATTTTTAAAAACAATAAATTGATTAAATCATCTCAAGGAAATGTTTGACATCCTGTTGAATTATGGATGTTTGGTTCCTCATCCTATTTTCCGAGTGCCTCTTGCTAACTTGTTTGCATTACACTTGGCCATTAGGAAGGAGCCTCTTCTCGGCAATATCCGCTGGAAAGTGAACAGCCCGTTGACCTTTTCCTAACCCCGGATCAGTTGTTGACTTGTCCCACAACTTGAACCCAAGACGATGACGAACCAATACAAAGAATCATCAAAAACCGCAGGATGGTCCTCAGTTGAACACTTGTGGAGCTCTTCTCTTACACATGCCTTTTATTATAAAATTAAAATTGCTAACCAAAGAATGAAAAAAGGTAGATATTTCGGCTTGCAACCCGCCCTATTTGATATCATTTTTTTGAAGCCAAAATAATCAGGCAACTTAATTGAATCAAGTTGCAAGGCGATCTGGGGTCGGCCAAAAGGAAAGCCCCATAATAAACGGCAAAGGAAAAGGCCACAGAGAAAAGAGGGGCAAAAAGACGGCTCAGAGGGCTGGAAACCCTCAAAAAAAAAGAGGAGAAAGGGAATGAAAGGGGGGTAAAAGGATGAAAGGAGTAAACAAGGGCTAAGGAGTGAAAATGTGCGCAAGAGAGCAAATAAATTGAAGTGAAAACAAATAGACCGGGATGTGGTGGTGCTCTGGTGGGTTAAAAAAGGGGTTCCACGGCGGACGTTCCGTCAGAATCCCCCACAATAACAACTCCACCTTATTTATAAATTAACAGTAACAATTTTTCCCGCCGGACATACACTTAAAAATTTTCGAGCATAAAAGTTTAATATTTTGCCCACTCAGTTTCCTTTTTTTTTGCTTTCTTTTTCTTTTCTTTTCTTTCCTGCTGTTTTCATTCTGCTTATTTCCATTCTTGTTGTTCTTTGTCTGGCTGTATGAGTGTATACGAGTATGGCTGTGTATGTGTGTGTGTGTGTGTGTGCTTTGTTCCGGGAAAAAGGAAGCTCCGGACAAGGTCCTTTGCCGTCGCTTAAGCAAATAATTTCTTTTCTTAGGCAGCGCTTTGGCTTTTATGCTTCGTTGAGTTCCTCCTCCACCGGCGAAATTCCCAACTGGCCAGCTGCATTGGTCCTTGTTTTGAGCCTTGTTTCTCCTTCTCCTCCACTTTTTTCTTCTTCTCCATCTCCTTTACCATCTCCTTGTCCTTTGGCGGTGCTCCCTGTTGTGCGTTTTGTTTTTAGGTGCCTCCGCCTTCTGTTTGGCCTGCACTTCTCACGCACATTCTTTGGGGAATTTGCCTAGCACTCAGTCCGTTGGACTCCGTTCCACGGGAAGATCTTTAAAAGCTCGCTGGCTGTTTGCCAACTTTAAGTAGTTTACACAAATCGAGGAATTAATATCGGAAGCAGCTTGTTAACACTGCGATGAACACGTTTTCTGACGGTGTTTAAATGGTGGTGAAGTTATTAAATGGTTTTTTTTTTTGCTGCAAAATTACATATTCAATTTGTTGATTATTATTTAATTTATGTGTCTGCAAAGATACAATGACATAATATTTTTTATACTTTCATTTATTAAATTTCATTCATTTTGTGAAATAAAATTGTTAATAAAATGGGTAGCATTTCAAGAGTTATTAAATCAAAATAGTTGTATGTTATTTAAAATCTTACAAACTTAGCAACATATATTAAAAGAGTTTTTAATAAGCCAAACAACCTGTTCGGCGTACCAATACGTGCCGATACCTATACCGGATTATAATAGATTAGGCTGAACATCTTTGTCGGGGCGATGGTTCCCTTACGTACCAGGAGCGTTTTTTAGAAACTTACTCAAACATATTTGGCAATCTTAAATCAAAATGTGAAATAGTTTTTTCGCCACGCTAAGAAATTCTATTTCATCATCTCATTGAACTAATAAAGATAATATGGGTTGGGTGGTAATAATCAAAAGAGTAACAATCTTAACATGGACTACCCTAACTAAGGAAACCCCTTTAAAGTACTTTTAAAACGATGAAAATGCAAAAGCTAATTTCCTTAATCAGCATGATGGAGCATATTTGTTAAAAAGCTCGCTCGCTATCAGTAAAAGCTCAGCGTATATAAGCAGTCGCTTTTTTGATCTCTCCAATTAGTCGTTGCTAGAGACTCGTTTAGTAACTATGAGATTCTGGGCTGTGATCGCGTTTGTGTTTTGCGCGTTGAGCGCTCAACCGCTCGAAACGGAAAGCGCGAAGATTTTGGCTACTCTTCCATTTCCCGGTCGCTCGCAGTACATATTTATGGAGACCTACTTAAAGGCACTGGCCGCTCGGGGTCACCAAGTGACAGTGATAAACACGTTCAAAAACAAGGAAACGCCCAACATGCGCTTCATTGAGGCTTTCAAAGTGCATGAATATGCTGATGGTGTGTGATGATTTAAATAAATAAACATTTATATCATTCAAGTAAAGAAATCATTTTATTATAAACAAGATTTACTTTCTTATAGTTCAACGTGAAAAATTAGCTAAAATAATACAACATTAATCGAAATTACTAAAAACCATACAGTTTTAAACCGAATTTATATTTGTATTATTTGTAATTTACAGCTATTATGGAACTGATTACTCAATCGACATTATGGCAGCAACTAAATGCATTGGAATTCATCATATCGAATTTCACTGAGGTCACCTTGCAGGACAAAGGTGTTAAAAACCTCCTAAACTCTGGGGAAACTTTCGATCTAGTTTTGGCCGAGATGATCCAAATGGAAGCCCTTTATGGAATGGCCCAGCACTTCAATGCCACCCTGGCCGGATTCTCTAGCTTCGGAACGGATAGAAAAGTTGATGAGGCTGTTGGAAATATATCCCCAATATCGTATAACCCATTGGTGACATCTCCACGCACCGATAAGATGACTTTTTGGGAACGTTTGGTGAATCACTATGAAGTCGTTGTGGAGGACCTTCATCGGTACTTCGTTCACCTGCCAGCGATGGAGAAACTATACAAGAAGTATTTCCCGAATGCAAAGAAAACTATGGAGGAGGTCATGGATAGTTTTTCCATGGTTCTGTTGGGTCAGCACTTTTCATTAAGTCATCCGCGACCCTATTTGCCCAATATGATCGAGGTTGGTGGAATGCAAATTTCGCACAAGCCAAAACCTTTGCCCGAGAACATTAAGCAATTTATTGAGAGTGCCCCGAATGGTGTTATATACTTCTCGATGGGTTCGAATGTGAAGAGTAAAGATCTGCCTCAGGAAACCCGTGATATTTTGCTGAAAACCTTTGCCAAACTAAAGCAGCGAGTGCTGTGGAAATTCGAGAATGATGATATGCCGGGAAAGCCAGCTAATGTACAGATCCAGAAATGGTATCCGCAACCCGATATTCTGGCCCATCCGAATGTGAAGATGTTCATCACTCATGGCGGTTTGTTGAGTCAAATAGAGAGTGTTTACTTTGGCAAACCCGTTCTGGGATTGCCGTGTTTCTACGATCAACACATGAATGTCCAGCGCGCACAGCGATATGGATTCGGTTTAGGATTGGATCTCAATAACCTCAAGCAAGATGAACTGGAAAAAGCCATCAATACTTTGCTCACCGACCCGAGTTATTCCAAAGCAGCTGCTGCCATTTCGGAGCGATATCGCGATCAGCCACAAACATCTTTGGATCGCGCTATCTGGTGGACGGAATATATAATCAGGCACAAAGGCGCTCCCCATCTGCGAGCTGCCTCCAGAGACCTCAACTTTATTCAGCTCCACAGTCTGGACACTTGGGCTGTGATCTTGGGAGTTCCTCTTATCGCCACCTTGATCATCCTAAAGTTATCTCTTAAATTGATAGGGAGCAAGAAACAAAAGTGCCCCCACGCTGATAAGATTAAAAAGCAGTAAAGGCTTTTGTTTCTATGTTTGCTGTTTACTGTTTTAAGTACCTTGTTGTCATATCAGCCTTATCTAGAAAAATATATAGTTTAATTGATCGAATGTTTATTGTTTTACGATTACTGACGTTTTTGTTGGGGAACACCGTCTCCGCTTTTAATGCTTATCAACTTTTGAAACAATGTGTGAATGTTATCACTTTAATTTGCTGATGAAAACGCTCAGCTGATAACAGTTTGTTTATACAGTTGAAATCAACTATATTCAACAATAAGTATGATTGTCATGTTGAATAGTTTTTTATAATTAAAAAATAAAATTAAGTCAGAACAGAATCGGTATGATTATCTCAACGGTTTGATAACGTATGATCTTGATTTGCATACAAATTATAGGTTTCAGATTGTAATTGAGATTTGGAGAGCGTGGGCTAGTTCAACTGAATATACATCATATATAGCTAGCACACCCATCATCCCACACAGTATAAACGAGAATTAGCATTTGTTTTTTTTGCTCTTACGCCTTTATTAACACCCTTTCGCTGCTTGATTAAATGAAAGGCATTTAAGTTAATTTATTTTTGAAACGCTGTCGCCGCCCCCGAAAAGCTTTATCCAAGAGCCACGCCCACTCCCAAGAACTTTGGGCAAAGTACACAAAAATTACCGAGTTAAAAATATCGTTGGAAAAAAAAAACTTTATCTTAATTGCGGGTTACTTTTTTTTCAACTGGTCTGCCAGCTACCTGGCCGGAATAAAAGAGCCGTAGAGAGGGACTTTCGGGGGAAAGTCCGGCGGAAAAAGTGAACCCAAATTTGTGTCCGTTGCTAGCACCAGGACACGCCCTAAATCACTGGCTTTTTATCAACTTCAACTTGAAACGAAATTCAAATGTTTCGCTCGTTTTTCTCCGCCTGGAAATGCGACTGAGGCAGACTCGACTCCGGCTGTTGCCCCTAACAACTGGAAAAGGGGGCGGTGGGCGGAAAAGTGGAGTGAAAAAATGCGATTCACATACGCACTCGGGAAAATAAAAGATTTCTGCAAGCTTAAAAAACATTTGCAACATTTAGGAACATTTTTTTGACAAAAATGAACGTTAATAGAAGGTAGATATGAAAGTAAACGACATGACCTTCTAAATGTTTTTGTTCTTAACATTTTATTTTATTTAAAAGCTTTAATTCAGTTAACTATTTGATACAATATTATACATTTTGAAATATTTTTAGTGCGACAAAAAATTTAGTAAAGTTATTTGATGTTATTTCTGGATAAATTCTATGGAAGAAAACTGCAACATGTACAGTTTTCTTCCATGTTATTTAGGTGACTCAAAATAAACTAACTTTCACTAAGAAAATATTTCAGAATTTTTTTGTTTATTTTTTTCTAAGTGTATCCACACATACGCAAAAAGGAAACCTGTCCCTAGCCACTTTGCACTAAGTACTCACACAAAATTCCGTTTGAAGTTTTTGGGTGCCGGTCCTGGTGCCCTGGCGTTTGGCCATGGCCGCACCTGTACAGTGGGCACCCGGCACCCAGCACCCGGTTCTCGACACTCACCTCTTCTACACGGCTACACGTGCACAGTCAGCGGACCATCGCTGCTCGGCTTGTAAATTGTATCCGTTTCAGGCACATAAATTGTTGTCAACTTCCGTTGGCTGCGACAACGTCGCCGCCACTGACCACTTCTGTGTCCAGCGATTCACCTGCTCCACTCGGTTGGGCTCCTCTGACCCCCGAGAACCCCTTTTCCCCAACTGGCTGCACCACCGTATGGCCAGCTTTGACTTGAGAGCGTATGCCAGAGCCATGGCGTTTGTCTTTCTCCTTTTTTATGGTTCCTCTAGAAGAGTATTGCTATTATAGTTCCGAATTCGAAAAATCTTTATATGGGAAACTTTTTGAAAATTTTTAAAAATATATTTATCAATGCTTTTCTTGTTTTTTAAGTAACTGACGATCCTATTTGCTTAAATTGTACAAAACGATTTTTTTTATTGAATCTCAGCAAAATAAACATATTGTTTCCCATAAAAATCTCAGTACAGAGAGGTTGGTCATTAAAAGTGCATTTTTTGCAGATCACGTTCAAATGGATATTTTATTTCCCAGCTTATCCTCATAAAAACTTTAAATAAACACAAACAAATACTTTTGTAATTCATATTTTAGCAACGTAGTTATTATGCGGGAGATTGAGTTATTCACTAGTGTGTTTTAAACTTCGGCATCACTGTGATATTCTTGCCATCATGATTGTTTTTTTTTTTTTTTTTTGTTAGTTCAGCTTGGGCCAACTTTAGCTGTCCATGTTTTTTTTTGCCATGCTTTTGCCCTCGTTGGGTGTTTTTTGCGCTCTTTGCTGCTACTCGATGCAGCTTCCAACTCCAACGTAATTGAATTTTTAATCTCGTTTATAGTCAAGTGATCTCTGGCATACACTCCCGGTGTACAACTGCGCATATTTTACGTGCCCGGTGCTTTGGTAGCTGCTTTCGGCTAACAGCCGCCTTGTCCTGTTCCTGTTTCTGTTCCTGATGCTCCTCCAGTTCCTCCAGCTCCGACAACTATAGCTTCAGTTCCTTTTCCTTTTCCTCCTTCGGCTCCCCCAAATTACACCAAGGGTCAAATACACTGGGCAAATAAAGTTGAGTTGAGAGAACGCCCCCGTCTTTTGGGGACATTGCCTCATAATGAGTGCCCGTCGTTATGCTAAATAGTTGGGCCAAAAAATTGTAACTTTTCTCTCGACCCGCACCGACTGCCCAACAACACTTGTGGGTTAATATGCACACCGAATTGCATATTCAACTTTTCGGGTTTTCGGATTTTCGGGTTTTCGCAATAAAGTATATCTCAAACAATGCTCTGTCTGCGGGCGAGGCGACACAAAAGGACCTCAAAACAAGCGCTTGTCATGTGAGTTGCACAATGCCCTCGAAAAGTCCGCAATGCAAATGTTTTAATGGAGTTAGGTGAAAATCTGGCTTACCTAGCCCCAAACTAAAGTCGCTTCCGAGAGGGTTAAGAACCATGGGAGGAGAAGGGGCAGGGGGATATTTTGGCGAACTGTTTACGGTGAAATCATGCCGTGTCAAAGGCGAGTAACGTGTGCATCATTAACTGGCTTACGTGACGACTGCGCCGTTCAATTAAGCCTTAATTATAAGCCCTCCCCGTCGAGGCTTTCCTTGCGACACAGTTTTCTCCTCCCAATTATCGCGTCACAGTTTCACGATTCGATTACGCATGATGGCGGATTAAGATCAAAAATTAGGAATTTTAAAAAAACTTTAGTTTTTACTGGCTAATTGTAATAGTTCTACTTATAAGAAAAACGGTAATTAAATATTAATGAAATATACGACTTTTAAACTTTTGCACCTTGCGTTGTAATTGTCCCGTTTTTTTTTTATTGAACAAAAAATATTTACTCTCACATTTTACAGACATTTTTTCTCCATTCACTATTGGAATAAAATTTATTTGGACACCAAATCCGTGCCCCTCCAATTATAAATACAGGAATAAAAATATTATAACATTATTTTATTTTTAAAAATATAACAGAATACGCCATTTGCAAATAAAACAAACAAAATTTCTGTGAGAATATAACATAATTTGACCTGAACCTGAACCAGTTTTATACCCAATTAATACAAAAGAAAATCCATAAAAACCGTAAGCCGTACACATTTACTGAGTTTAATTGGTTAACAACGGGGTTCGTTAGTCAGACTGTGGGATTGTGATCATTTTCAGGCTCTTGGCATCGAATTCCCTTTGAATTCGCTGCAGTGAGTGGCTAGGAACTAGGACTAAAATTTGGTCAAACCCAAAATACTGGCGAAATAATTATGCAGGTACCCATGGCAATAGAGGCAGCAGTGCCCAGCCATTAGCAAACACGGGCTAAGCATTAATTAAATATTAACCGAAGCAGACAGAGCGGCTATGGTTACCATTCCAGGATGCATCGGTTAAACCCTTTCCGCCCCTCTTACAACCCCCTGACCCCTTGTTGTGTCACTGTTATTGTTGCATTTGGCAATTGTTTGATTTTCATTAAAACCACTCAACCGAGTTGCTTATCTTAATTATGAGATTTTGCCATAATATTTGCATTAGATGGGAGCCAATGCAACTGCAACTGCATAATGCGGCCATGCATCTCAACTGCTCGAGTGCAACTACTCCTTCTTCGTCTGGACACTGAGAAAAAACCCTTGAATCATGTAATAAATATGGAACTATTTTAATTCATAAATAAATAAATATACAGAATCAAATATGATTAAATTAGATCTAATGTTGTTTCAAAATTCTCTTTTGTTGGTTTGTACTAACATTTTTTTTAAATATAGCCTAATTAACTTATTTTAATATTTAATTTGGTAATAGAAGAGTATAAACTGAGTATATTCTTATAACACTTCAAATTGAACTTGTGCTCCATCACCTCCAGTGTACAACTCCCAAGATTGTCTGTCTTGGCCAACGCAATGCAAATGTTTGTGGCTTTCGCTCGAACTTTGCTTCGCAAACGTTCCATATACGTAATTTAGCATGTTCAAGTGTAACAATGACCTGGCCAAATGGAGTTTCAGCTACGGTCAAGGATGGCCAACAACTACACTAACCCCAATAGCAACACCAAAACGAAAAGCACCGCCAACGCCTGGCGTTGTGTTAAATTTTTTAACTGCAATAATTATACGGCAATTAGCCAAATGTTCAATAATGCAGCGCCAGCTTCAGCTTTAGCATCGGTTCCATTTTCCATTTCCCAGTTTTCCGCTGCGCAGCCGTTACAAAATTTTTGACTGCACTCGGGTAAACTTCTAATTGCCATTAGCGCACTTTACTTTTTCCTGCATTTGCTGCTTTGATGGGATGGCAGTGGGTGGGGTGAGTTGGGTTGGGTTGGGTTGTGTATGTTCTGAAAGTGGGTGAAGGGTTAGTGAAAGTGGGTGGTAAAAGAGGGCGGCAAAAGAGGAGGCTTTAAGGGAGCTGCAGGTGAGCGCGTAATTAGACCGCGCCGTTAGCTGCCGCTTGGTTGGCCGGCTGTCTGTAATTTAGTACTA